AGAGTAACAATTCCTTATGTTTGTATAATGTTATTAAATAAAGTTTTTATCAAAAAAAAAATTTACAGAATGCTTTCATACACTTCTTACCATTTAGTCTTTAGAACCGTTCTTAGACATAGGGCAGCATATCTTGACTTCTGTATGCTGAAATTGAGACTTCTGAGAAGTAAGGCACCCAGTTTGTACAGCTGGTAATCATGGCATCAGTGGGTTTAAGGTTTTGGTTCAGCTGGCAGGGTCTGGGAGAAGAATTCGCTGTGGCAATAAGATTTGGGGTGTTGGGGAAGGGAGAGCTCAGTGCCCTCCTAAGTTCCTCACTCAGCACTGGGCTGGACTGTGGCGGCCTGTGTGTTGCTAGGGTGCTGGAAGCTCTGCCATTGGCATTTAAAAACACAGCAGTGAACATGTTTCAGCGGAGTTTCCAGACTAAGACCGATTAGAAAGAAGGAGAGACGGGCTGTTTCTACCTGTCCAGCCACTGAAAACTACAAATACCAGCAGAACAATGTCAGGTAGTGTCCGAAGATGAGCCCTTCAGGTTAGCAGACACTCAGAGTGTCACTGGGAAGGAGCTGCTTCCTTAAAGTAGAGCTGCCCATAATGATGTGAATGGAGCAAAACTTTGGGGACCTTGACTTGCTGATGGGGCACAGCTGAAACAGATGACACAAACAGCTACAAACATCCAATAATTGGAATGTGGAATGTATGAAGTATAACTCTTGGATAATTGGCAGTAGTCAAAAATGAAATGGAGTGCATAAAGATCAATATCCTAGGCAGTGGGCTAAACCCTAAGCAGTGAGTTAGAATGGACAGGTGTTGGCCATTTTGAATCAGACAGTAACACGGTTTATTATGCTGGGAACGTCAAATCGAAGACAATGGCGTCTCATTGATCATCAGAAAGAACATTTCAAGATCTATCTTGAAGTACAATGCTGTCTGTGGTAGGGCAATATCTAAAAGCATACAAAGAAAACCTGATGTGGTGCTGCTTTAAAATAAGCACTGGGCTGCTAACCACAAGGTCGGTGGTTCAAACCCTTCAACTGCTCCTTGAAAACCCTATGTTGTTGTTGGTAGGTGTCATCGAGTCGGTATCAACTCATAGTGATCCTATGCACAACAGAACAAAACACTGCCCGGTCCTGGACCAACCTCACTGTTGTTGCCATGCTTGAGCCTATTGATGCTGCCATTTTGCTGATCCATCTACTGGGGATCTTCCTCTTGTTCCAATTATTAATGGATGTTTACAGCTGTTTCTCTTCATTTTGAGTTGTGCCCCATCAGCAAATGAAGATCCCGTGGACTTTACTCTCCCCCAGGCTTTACTCCATTCACGTCATCACGATCAGCTCTACTTTGAGGAGTCAGCTCTTCCCATGTCGTATTTTGAGTGCCTTCCACCTGAGGGGCTGTATCTGACAGTGTTTCTCTGCTATTCATAACATTTTCAGTGACTAAATATTTGGAAGTAGTTCATCACTCCTTCCTAGTCTGTGTCCGTCTGGAAGCTCATCTGAAACCAGTCTACCATAGGTGACCCTGCTGTTATTAAAATACACATGACGTAGCTTCCAGAATCACACCAACTCAGAAGCCACCACAGTACAACAAACTGAAGACGAGTGGTGGTGGAAACCCTATACAGGGTTACTATGATCAGAATCAACTTGACCACACTTACCATCATCAAAGAAGATCATTTAATACCACTGTTTCTCAGTTTTATGCGGTAACCACTAATGCCAATGATGCGAAATTAAAGAATTCTGCCAACTTCTCCAGTCAGATGTTGATCAAACTAATCAAGATGCATTGATAATTACCGGCAATTGGATTGTGAAAGTTGGAAACAGACTGTGCAAACTGTGAACAGTCTATCAATTACTCAGATTCAAGTTCATGTTGAAGTGGAAGAAAAGTAAAGCAAGTCCATGACAGCCAAAATAGGACCTTGAATGTATGCCACCTGAATTTCTAGATCATCTCAAGATCAGAGTGGATACATTAAACACTAATGACTGAAGACCAGATGAATTATGGGATGACATTGAGAATATCGTCTATAAACAACATAACGCCATTAAGAAGACTGAGAAGAAGGAAAGACCCAAATGCATGTCAGAAGAGACATGAAACTTGCTCCCCAGCATAGAAGATGCTAAAGCAAATGGAAGAAATGGAGAGGTGAAAGAGTTGAACAGAAAATGTTAAAGGGCAGCCTGAGAAGACAAAGTTATAATCAAATGTGCCAAAGACCTGGGGTTTGAAAACCAAAAGGGAAGAACATGCTCAGTCTTTCTCAAACTGAAAGATCTGAGATACAACTTCAAGCCTTGACTTGAAATATTGAAGGATTTTATGGACAAGATATTGAATGACGTAGAAAGCATCAAAAGAAGGTGACAAGCATTCAGAGTCACTGTACCAAAAAGAGACGGGTCATGTTTAGCCTTTTCAAGTGGTAGCATATGATCAAGAACCGATGATACCGAAGGGAGAACTGCAAACTGCACTGAAGATACTTGCAATAAACAAGGCTCCAGGAAAGAAATGAAAACAAATTGAAATCTCCTAGCAAACTGATGCTGCACTATACCAAGAAATTTGGAAGACAGCTACCTGGCTAACCCACTGCAAGAGATCCAAATTTGTGCCCATTCTAGAGAAATGTAACCCAAAAGAATGAGGAAATCACTGAACAATGTCATTAGTATCACATGCAAGTCAATTTCTGTTGAAGGTATTTTAAAAATTATGACAGCAGTACACTGACAGGAAGTTGCCAGAAATTCAAGCCAGATTCAGAAGAGGATGTGGAACTAGGGATATCAAAGTTGTGAAAGACTTGATTTTGCTTGAATCCACAATCATCACTCATGGAAGAAGCGGTCAAGAAAGTCAAGGACCTATTTATTGCATAAGTCAAATCTGTTGCACAAGACCTCTCTAAAGTTTGATAAAGAATAAAGACGTTCGTTTGGGGACTAAGGGTGCCTAACCCAAGCCATGATATTTTCAGTTACTTCATATGCATGTATGTGAAGGTTGGACAGTCAATAAGGAGGACCTCAGAAAAATCAATGCATGTAAATTGTGGTGTTGGAGAAGTGTGTTGAAAGTACTATGGATTACCAGAGTAACAAACAAATTTGTCGTAGAAGCAGTGCAGCCACAATAACTCCTTAGAAGTCAGGGTGGCAAGACTTCATCTCTCCTACTTCAGACATGTTGTCAGGAGGGACCAGTCCCTGGAGAAGGGCATCACGATTTGGTAAAGTGGAGGGCCAGGGAAAAAGAGGAGGAAGATCCCTAACAGGATGGATTGACGTATTGGCGGCAGCAATGGGCTCGAGCATAACCGCACTTGTGAGGATGGCGTTTGGTTCTGTCAAATTCTTGGAAACCCTCTTAATGGCATCTAATAAGTTTCCCATTTTCAATGCAAGTACCCCATGCTTTCAGAGATCACTGTTATCCTCAATCCCTTTGATTCCCTTTGAGTGGAAATCAACTTGATGGCACCTGTTTTTAATACAAATATCCCTCCTTTCACGTACTGCTGTTATCCTCAACCTTGTTTCACTTTCCTAGAGAAGGTTTGGGGTCGAGGTATGGAGACAAGCTCTGCTGCTTGAACTAGCTGTTCTTTTTACTCCTACTGTCCCGGACTTTCTGCCGGTAATTCCCGAGACTTGGGGTGTTTTTGTTGTTGTTGTTTTTGATAAAACAGATGGCTACTTGTTGGCTGTTTTCACTGCCTTTTCAAGGTTCAAATTTATTGAGTCTATGAAATTATCATATGCTGTACAGCTTTCAAACATGTAGTGTCTCTTTTTCTCTTCTTTATTCTAAGTTGATACCTTTTGAAAAATCGTTTTCACTGTCTTTATAGTGTGGGTTTGGGAAAGAGAAGAGACTAATACATGCTTTAATTTTGTCTGTTTGTTCCCCTGGACTGCCTGCCGTAATAAAGTGCCACAAAGAAGGTGGCTCTAGGCAACTGAATTGGCTCATAGTTTGAGACACTTGTTGTTGTTGTTGTTAAGTGCTGTTGAGTCGGTTCCGACCCAAAGCGACCCTGTACAGGGTTTCCGAGGGTGTAAATCCTTACAGGAGTAGAAAGCCTCATCTTTCTCCTGTGGAGCGGCTGGTAGTTTCGAACCGCTGACATTAAGGTTCGTAGCCGATTCGTAACCGCTACGCTACCAGAGTTTGAGACACTAGAAACCCCAAATCAAGGAGTTGTCAGGACTTGCTCATCAGGGAGAATCCCTTCCGTGCTTTTCTTTGAAGCCTCAGATGTGGTTCCCTGGCTGTAGTCACCTCTGTGTGTCCTGTGTGTTCTCCTTATGAGCTGTGTGATTTCTCCTTTTATTAGAATACCAGCCATATTGGACTCAAGAGCCCATGCTATTCCACTACATCGTCATCTTCTGTAAAGACCCTAGTTACATGTAAGATCATATTCTGAGGTTCTGGAAATGACTCTGGTTTTGAGAGGACACCATTTAGTTCAGTGTAGTCTCCAGCCTTTAACCTGAAGTGAACGAATGGCTTTTGTATTTCATTTCCCTACCCTGGGAGTTCTTACTTGTTCTTGTGTCTGTCTTGCTACTACTTTAAAGTGGAGAAACCCTCACACCCAATAATAACATTTCATTTCTCTGTTTTATGCAAAATCTAAGGTTTTCGGACATCTTTTTCCTGTTCAGATTCTTAGTTATGCTCAGTAGAAGTCCTAGTGTTTCAAATATGTAATAAAAGAACTGAAATCTCTATTTTCACCAGTGCTTCTTACAGTGTAATTTCTTCTCCATGTTTGATTTATGGTGTGAAGAGATCCATTCTGGGACTTGTGTGTTTTGTTTTCATGGGTATGACACAGAGGGAGGCCTTTCTTAATCAGAATGGTTTGTTTCTTTCTTAACAGTTTTCCACCTGCCTGTAGAACTAACGGTGTGTCCCTCTGTGTTGCATGTCTTCAGGTTGCCTGAAGCTCAGCAGAGAGTCGGAGGCTGCTTTTTAAATCTTATGCCACAAATGAAAACCTTGTACCTTGCGTATTGTGCCAATCACCCATCTGCTGTCAGCGTTCTCACAGAGCACAGGTAGGTCCTCTCAGACACTTGAAAATAAAATGCTGACTTCTTGGGGCCCCTTGTACAACGCCTCTGTTTTCTACACATATGTGAAGGACAGTCTTAATATTCACTTGATTCTTACAGAAAGCTATATGAAAATTGTGTCTCAGAATTAGTACCAGAGAAGTACTGGTATCGGATTGTTTTTGTAAAAGCAAAAGATCTTTTTTAAAGTCTCCTCTTCAGCCTTTTGGAAAATGGGTTGAAGGAATTGGTAAGTATTCTCGAAAGTAGTAGCAAGTCAAAGGAAGGCTACTGGGGTCATATTTCTCTCAGATCATAAAACTGGAAGCACTTGAGACTGGATTAGATAATGGTGTCAGAGAAAATGTCCCATTTAAGATTCGCTTTCACTTAGAGAAAACATCAGGGCCTGTAACACCTTGTATTGATTTGATACGGCTTTTATATCTAATGTCTTCTTAATTCCCACGAAATGATTGGGTGGGCCCATGCAAATAAGATATGTCAGACTCTAAGGCCCAGATTGGTTAGTTTTGCCCTCCAGGTAGGATTAAAAGGAGCCCTCCCAGAAGCAGGAACTCCAGATCCCAGGACCATCAACAGGAAGAGAATGGGTGGTGTGTGAGGTCCCTACCTATAAGAAGGGAGATGGCAGAAGTGGTGGCCTGGAGAGACAGAGCAGCCTGTAGGCCCTTGGTCAGAGGCAGAGGCAGAGGCCAACGGCCCACGTGACTGAGAAGCTGCCGACAAGAGGGAGGCGTGTCTGCAGTGTGACAAACACAAGGCGTTTCCGATGGGAAAACTGCTGCCACCTGAGTTGGTTTTGATCCTGACTTGTAATGTGTTCGCTTCCTTAATAAACCCCATAATTGTGAGTATTGTGGAGATTGGATTGTCACACCCAGATGGTGTGGGCAGAGAGTGCTAGGTGAGGGGCAGTTGGTGTCAGACTAGGGTGAAGCCCACTTTTGTAGGGTGCAGGCGTGTCTGACTGCCGCACGCTCAGAGGCTTGGTTTCTACTTTTAAATGAGACACAGTCTTCTTTTAATAGTAAATTACAAATATGTTAGAAAAAAAAAAATTTCTTTCTAAAACAGCAATTGAGAATATTTCAAAACCATCAATGGAAAAATTGTTTTAGGAACATCAAGATACAAGCCAGTGTGCTTCTAAGTTAAGTATTTATTTCAATTTATTCTCAACAGAACATCTCAATTAGAAACAAGACTCTCTCTCTAAGCAAACATTGCTCGTGTGTTTTAAGAAATGCTGGGCTTTTATAAGAAGTGGTATTGTAGCATGAAGTCCTGCTGTGGCACTGTAGGATAAGCACTGGACTGCTAACTCATATGTTGGCAGTTCAAACCCACTGAAACTCTATGTAGGGTCGCTGTGAGTTGAAACAGGTTTGGTAGCAGTAAACAAAAAATCCCAACATTGCAACGTTGTCATCCAGTGGCCGTGCTTTGGCATCAGTTAGACCTGGGTTTGAAGCCTGACTGCGACTTTGAGATTGATTGTCTTTGGCCAAGTTGCCTCACTTCTCTGGGTTTCAGTTCCTTCTTCTGAAAGTGCATGTCACGAAGGCATTCAGCAAAATATGCATAAATGTCCAATAAATGCTCATTGTTTTGTTGTCTATTAAAAAAAAAAGACCCTGGCCATTTACTATTTCTTCAGTATGCTTGAATGCTAAATGGTCAATTATAATTAAGTTTCCATTTGTCTTAAAGCATCTTCAATCTTGAGATGAAACAACTGTCTTTGACAAGGTGTGAAGGAAAGAGGCGATTAGAATACAAAGGCGTCAGAGGAAAGGAGACCCTTCTTTTACCTTCTCGCCGATTTTGGTCTTCCTCTTCCACTCTCCATTCTGGAAGTGTGTGTTCCTTTTGAGATGTATCTTTCTCAGATTGTGAAACATGTATTCACTTATGCTAATCCACCTACTGCTGAGTATTGTAAATCAAATGTAATTTCTAGAAAATGAAATATCCCATTTATACTGCTGATTAATCCTTCAGAAATTATTGAAGCAGAGATAAGCAAACAGAATGGAAGAATAAAGCTGTAAAAAATTTAATTTCTCTCTCCCTCTGTTGTTTAAATTAGTGTTTTTAAACTCCTTTAATTGGGGTTGAAAGTGTAGAAAGTGGATGGGGTGAAGACTTTTAGGAGAGTAGTCTAAATACATATTTACCCATGGAAAAAGTGAGGCTCTTTTCTTAAAGGGACATTTAAAGCTGTTGAGCTGTTTTAAGTTTACAAATATGTGAAGACTTGAAAGAGAAATGATTGTCAAGTTAGCTATTTTGAATGAATTATGGGTTTTATAATTTAGTTTCTAAAGTAGTGAATAAAGTAGTGTCTTTATTCTGCATGATTAGCTTAATGAGCCTGTGTCATCTCTGAAATGTAAGCGGTTCATTTACTCAGAATCACTGGAGTAAGTTTCAGAATCTAGAAACTCTTGGTACCTCCTCCATTTGGTATTTCCCAGAGTTTGGTAGTGGGTGGAGTCAAGTCTTACACTGAAGCACGGGCGTTAAGCAAGTTGCATTAGAATTCAGTTCTGGGATTGGATTCTAAGCCACAAAAAAAGAGAGAAGACCCTCAGGGAGCCAGCTGGTCCTGGATGTCAGGTGGGATGCGGTGTCTGTGTGCCCTCTTCAGAGCCCCGAGCGGTGAGGGCTCCCATTCTGTCTACTGCAAATCAAATCCCACCTCAGAAACGTAAGTTGGTGGATTGAGACTGGGATTTCATTTGTCTGATCGTTTCTTGTAATATTCACTCCTTTTTTCATACTTTGGTTCATAGTATGTATGCTTAGTTTCATTTGCTTGCTTCTCTTCATTTGTTAAAGTCTTAAAGATGCCACACATATGGGTAGATTGAGCTGTTTTTGGGTTTGAATCTAAGTGTTAAGGGTTAGTTTTGGTGTAGTGTTTTGAGTTGAAGTCTTACTTGCCACCTCATTGCCCTTTGTGTAACTTTAAATTCTCTCATTGTCCTTTGTGTAGCTTTAAATTCTAAGTGTGAATCTTATTAGTGTAAAACTGTAACTGATATGTACCTTTTGCATTGTCTACAATAATAGATAACATGTACTCATGGCTAACAATTTTGAATGCATTATGGGTTTTATAATTTAGTCTCTAACGTAGTGCATTTTGTTCCCTTCCCTGCAGTGTACTTGTTACTTTTTGGCTGACTAAATGATAGTTCTTTTGATGTCTGTCCTTTTTGTTACGGTCTGCAGCCTACAGTGTCATTTCAGCACACAGCAGAGGAGATAACACTGTCTAAGCGTTGCTGGCATCAGGAGAAGTGAACTGAAAGAGCCATTGTTGCTGTCAAAATTGCTGTAGTCAGCTGTTTTATTATAAACAAAAGATGACTGCACAGTCATGTGTAAAGATTTATAAAATTCTGGTTTCTTTCTTAACTGTGTATATAATCTGTATAATTTTTCTTGTAAAACTTATAATTTTAAAATTTAAGGCTTTTTGTTTTAGGGAGGGGGTTGTTGGTGATTGGTGAGGGTCAGTTACCTAATGTTGGAAATTTTTCTCTACCACAACTGTAGCTGTGAAACTCCTACTGTAACTCTCCTGTATACCAGTAGTTCTCATAGATTTTGCTTTGATTTTCATCTTGATAGAAAAGGTCCTATATGGATTATATACTTTTGATATCATAAAGTTTGAGTCTTGTGGTGCTGTGCCTGATAAATTATTCAACACTTGGAGAAATGCTGGTAATGTAAAAACTTTTCATATCAAAATTCATCATTTCAGTCTACTCCGACTTCAGGGATTAGCACAGTGAGTGTAGGACTTAAAGAGTCGAGCACTGTCTGAACACAAACTTATGAGCGTTTGGTAGCTTTCCTGGTGAAGAATCTATCCAGAGCGCAGGTGCTAGGAGTTTAAAAGACAAACCGTTACACTATGGCCAGAGTGTGCCCAGAACCAGAAACTATTGTCAGATCTCAAGGCCCGCAGTCTCAACAGTGAGATCTTAGGTAGTGATCTTAACTAGATTTTCTCATTGGTCATAATACATGTGTCCCAGACTTGGCATTTGTAGGCACTAATACAAGTGTTTACTCTGATGACAAGCACAGAGTACGTGTCAGTAATGCCTTCCACTCTCTCTGCAGTCTGCTCTATAGTCCTGGTCTGCTTTGCCCTAACTGAACAAACAAGAGTAGCTGGGTGGGGAAGGTTAGGGACACAGTGTGTAAGGGTAGGGTGGTCAGTCTTAGACCCCGTCACTCAGAACACTCCTTCTGCTACACCCATTTCTCAGTGGGAAGGGAGATGTCAGGGCATGAGTATTCACTGTTTAAACAGGTGCTCAGAGGGGCCGCTCGTGACTTTTAAATCAGTATAATCTTTGGGGTTCAAAAACACAGTAATACACAGCAAGGTACCTATATAAATATTATTTAGCATTGTTTCCTAAGAAAGTGATTCTTGAAAACATAGAGTGACATAGACAAAGATGTTACATTTTAGCTGTGGAAGTAAGTAAAACAGCCCCCCCGCCCCCCCAGAAGGAGGATGATAAATAGAATGAAAATAACTATGAAGTCTTATATCTAGAAACGAGCAAATATTTATTATTTATGTCTTAAGTTTTTGTGACTTTATAAAGCATTCGTAAACAAAGATGAAGATATATGTGGACATATGATCGGATGCTGGTGGTGGTGGTGGTGTGCCATGGAGTTGGTTCTGACTCATAGCGACTGTGTATGGGGTTTCCAAGGCTGTACATCTTTATGGAATCAGAAAGTGTCATCTTTCTCCCACAGAACCACTGGTGGTTTCGAACTGCTGACCTTGAGGCTAGCAGTCCAACTTGTAACCACTACGCTATCAGAGCTCTTTATAATAGATAGTAGTAGGATTATGTAAAATTTCCTTTTAATGTTTTACTTTGATTTTGATGTCATATATGCATTTATGGCATCATATATGGATACAGATATATGATACAGAGATACACATATATACTTGTGTGTTGTAGGAGTAGGCGTCCCACTGTGGCGCTGTGGGTTAATGCACTGGACTGCAAAGTTGATTTGAATCACAAGGTTGACGATTCAAGCTCACCAGTTGCTCTTAGGAAACCCTGTATAAGGTTGCTGTGGGTCAGAACTTGACTCAACAGTTGTTCGTTGGCCTCAGTGGCCTGGCTCTGATTCAAACCCAGGTGATTGAGCTGACACTTCCCTCTGCTTTAACTCTGTCTATCTGCACAGTTCCATGTGTCTGCATGAGGGATATGACCTCCCGTGGCCCCAACACAGACCCTAGATCTGGAGATATGCTTTTACTTTTAAATTGTAAAGGTTAGACAAAATACAGGCAGAATGGTGTTTTCAAATGCTGAATACTAATGATTCTGTTGTGTTGCATTGTGAGCTCTTCAAGGCCAGGAAGCATTACATGCTCATAAAACAGTGATCAGAACACAGCAGACATTCAGTGCCACATTTGTTGAGCCAGCACGCATCTATAGGGAAAGTGCTTTGATTCAGTCTATTGTTCTTTTAAAGCTGCTTCTGCTTGAGTGATCCCTTTGTTGTTCATAACATTTTGAGGTTTCCCAGGTTTGAGATCCATTCTGGTTATAAGAATGCATGTTTGCACAGACATATGGGTAACACATTAAAGGAACCTTTTCTTGAAAGGAATTTCATAGGACAGAAAAAAAAGTATTATATATTATATGCAATTGCTGTTTATAATGAGAGCCATAACATGAATTTTTGCTTGGTGTTTTTGAAGTAGCCACACATGTTTTTGGTTATAAAGGCTGTAGAGCCTTCAGAATATGAAATGACGTGTTGTGCTTATATTTCTTACGTACTGGTGGTTGCTAGTGGAAATCAGAGAGCTGGTTTGAACCATAAGGTAGGTGGTTCAAGCTCAGCAGCTGCCCCTCAGAAACCCTAGACAGGGTTGCTGTGAGTGGGAACTGACTTGATGGCAGTTAACAAACAACAACTATAACAACAACCTTCCCCCCCCCCCCCATTTTGTCATTTGTTCAGCGAAGAATTGGGGGAATTTATGGAGATGAAAGGTGCCAACAGCCCTGGGATTCTTGTGTTGACCACAGGCCTCAGCAAGCCATTTATGCGCCTAGATAAGTACCCCACCTTACTCAAGGAGCTCGAGAGACACATGGAGGTACTACTCTTATATTCTATCTCTTAGAATCCAATCCATTAGCCATAAAAGCAGTGGCGTTCTCAGATTTATTGTGCAAGAAATTATTAGTGACGCTTTATTTCAAAAGTCAGAGCCCCCAACAGTTTTACCAAGAGTTTCTAATTTACTGGATTTTCACAACGATTTTGTTTCTGTTTTGTTTTTTGCTTAACCAGCTCTGTGTTAAAAATCAAAACACACACACACACACAAAATACCACCAAGAAAAACATTTGCCCCTTTATCTCCTTGCTTTTCCAGCACTGGTAATGGAAAACTCTCAAAAGCTTAATCTAATTTCTGGTATCACCATGTTATCATATCAGAAACATTTATCTATAAACAACAAGCGCTTAAGTTATAAAGTAACAATAATAAAAGAACTATCAAATGTCATAGTATATGTTTATTTTATTTTCAAGTAACATGTTATGGGCCTGGCTGAAATTTGAGCACAGATCATTCTCTGGGCCTGAGGTCAACGAACCGTATCTGTAAACCGGTGTGCGTTAGTTTCCTAGGGCTGTCATACCAAAGTGCCACAAATGACGTGGCTTATGAGAACTGAAGTTACTTCCTCACAGTTCTGGAGGCGAGGAGCAAAGACATCAGAGCATCCTCCGGGCCGTGCTCTTTCCAGTCTAGTATCCCCAGGAATTGCTTTTCCTTGTCTGAAACTGCAGCTTCCTATGACCATCTTTTACAAGGAGAGCACTCAGATTGGGTTAGGACCCAGCCTGTCCGACAATGGCCTCATGTTAACTAATGACATCTTCAAAGGCCCTATTTCCAAGCAGGGTCATGCTCACCGGCACAGCACTAGGGATTAGGACTTCAGCATACCAGTGGGGGAAACACCATTTGCTTCGTCCCAGGACAGTTAGGAACTATTCTAGACTTTATAGTCTCTCTTGCACATACCCACCTCAGCAGTTCCAGCACTGAAGGAGTCAGCCCAAAACCTGTTGCCCTGCAGTTATCTACCTCCTAAAGGCCCTGTAGGACAGAGTCGAAGTGCCCCATAGGGTTTCCAAAGCTGTAGTCAGCAACAGTTATAGACTCTGTGTGGCCCCGCTGTGATGCTGTAGGGTTAGCACTGGCTGCTAACCTCAGTGTCAGCGGTTGGAACTCAACAACTGCTCGCAGATCAATATGTAAACATGGGTGTAGCCAGTCTGCCAATGAAACTGTCTGTTGAAACAGGCATGGTGTGGGGACTGAACCCCGCTCTTGACTTTTCTGCTGTAAATTATTTTATCCCCTAAGTTCATTGTATTCATAAGAATTGAGATGATTAATTAGCTAGATGGTGAGTCCCTTAAAAAATAAAAAAATCATACTAATGCCGAGGAGTAGGAGCATGTTAAAGGCTGAAAGATCATTTAAACATTTCAGGATAATCTATAGGGAGTACCTTTAAAGAAAAACTTTTCATTATGAAAACTGAGCGTGTTTCTTTTATTCAAAGGATTACCATCCAGATCGACAAGATATTCAAAAATCCATGACTGCCTTCAAAAACCTTTCAGTAAGTGATTATTGTCCCCCTTAGACATTGTATGAAAAATGTTTAACTGCTGAAAAAGTTAAGATGATGAGAAATGGCTTGTGGAATACAATTGAGGGTTTGTTCAGAAGAAGTAGTTAATAGTCATATAGTAGGTATCACGTAGAATCCAAGAAGCTGGACTATATGAAAAAGAGCACATCATCACAATTGGGAAAAGACTTACTTGCAATCTGTGACGTATGATATACAGATGACACAGTCTTGTTTGCCGACAGTTAAGAGGACTTGCAGCACTTACTGATGAATACTAAACAGTACAGCCATCACTGTGGTTTACAACTGTGTATAAAGTGAACAGAAATCCTCGCAATGGGACCATCAACAACATCCTGATCAATCGAGAAAAGATACTTATTTTATACAATCAGTGTTCATGGGAGCAACTTTCAGGAAATCAGAGGACACAGTGCATTCGCTATGCTGCAGAAGACGGTGTTTTGTGTTTGTTTTACTTTCTATTGTGAATTGAGTAAAAAGCGCTGTTAGTGTAGTAGGCCGCTAACTTCAGGGTCAGCAGTTCGAAACTACCAGCTGCTCCACAGAAGAAAGATGAGACTTCCTGCTCCCATAAAGAGTTACCGCTTCGGAAACCTTCTGCAGGGTCACTGTGAGTGGGAACCTGCTCTATGGCACACAGCCATCACCGGTGTTTCCTGTTTCCTTCGATCCTCTTTCCTAACCCTTCTGAACCTGGTCCCTGGGTAAATGGAGCCTTTTTAATCTGTACTGCCTGTATACGACTTCCTTAGGGTTACTGCCCTTTTAGATCTGCAGAAGACCTTTTAAAGTGTTAAATAGCAAAGATGTCACTCTGGAGATTAAAGTGCTCCTGACCCAAGCCATGGTATTTTTAATTGTGTCTTACACTTGTGAAAGCTGAATAATGAATAAGGAAGCTTGAAGAAGAATCGATACCGTTTAGATTATGGTGTTACGGCAGAGAATACTGCGTGTACGTACCATGGATTACCAGAGATGAACAAATTAGGTCTTGAAAGAAGGTACAGCAGGTGCTCCTTAGAAATGAAGATGGCAAGACTTTGGACATGTTACCAGGAAGGACCAGTCCCTGGAGAAGGAAGGCCATCATTCTTAGTATAGTGGAGGGTCACTGAAAAAGAGGAAGACCCTCAGTGAGCTGGACTGACACAGTGGCTGTGACAGTAAGCGCAAACATAGCAACAGTTGTGAGGATGGCGCAGTGCCACCAACTATTTCACTCCGTGGGTTGTGACAAGTTGGAACCGATTGGATGGCCCCTGACAGCTCATCTGTCATACTACCACTTGTCTATCGGTAAATCTCACTGTAGTGGCTTGAGTATGGCTGTGACAAATAGCAGCAGGTGGACAGGTTTCAGCTGAGCTTCCAGACTAGGACATCAGGAAGAAGGACTACTTCTGAATGCTTAGCCCTGAAAACTGTATGAATAGCAGTGGAAGAGAGTGTCCGAGAGCACCCGAATATTGTCAGGTGTAATGTTCTGGTAGCGTAGTGGTTACGAATCGGTCTGCGAACCACAAGGTCAGCGGTTCGAAACTACCAGCTGCTCCGCAGGAGAAAGATGAGGCTTTCTACTCCCATAAAGATTTACACCCTCGGAAACCCTGTACAGGGTCGCTATGGGTCGGAACCGACTCGACGGCACTTAACAACAACAAGTGTTGGAAAATGAGCCTCTCAGGTTGGAAGGCACTTAAAACACTGCTGTCGAAGAGTTGCCTCCTCGAAATACAGCTGACTGTTATAATGAAAATGGACTAAAGCTTTCAGAACCTTCATTTACAGGTGGGGGCACAACTCAAAATGAGGAGAAACCGCTGCAAACATCCATTAATCATTGAAACATGGAATGTGCTTAGCATAAATCTAGGAAAATTGGAAGTTATCCAAAATGAAATGGAATGAATAAAGATTATGTTATAGCTACTTAAAAATTAGTTACAACATTTTTTTCTCCAGCTACAGAACTTTTAGTGATGTAGCATGAAACACAATACTAGGGGCTCCAGTTTATTTATTGGCATGTTGTCTTACCAACTGTATTTTTGAAAGTTGTGTCTTACTTGTAGCACAAATTATTCTTTTTTTAAAAAACTCTCTTTTCAGTCCACTATGTTGGCAAACAGTGATAAAGACAGAAAGGAGATGCTTTTCTTGTCCGTGCAACATTTCTTCTTCCTGCTCTAGTTTTAAATCTGCTATAGAGCTTTCTGAAATAATTTCTCGTATTCCAGAGAATTTTATTTTGCTTCTCTTGACTTGAGTCTGTACTTGAGAATTTAGTAATTAGTTAGATTATCTATCTTAAGAAATAAGATTCAGAGCAGTTTGACCACAACTTAAAGATTTAGATGTTCCTGTCTCTTGTAATTAAATTGTCCCTGCATTTCTCAGGCCCAGTGTCAAGAAGTTCGGAAAAGGAAAGAGCTGGAGTTGCAGATCCTGACAGAAGCCATCCGAAGTTGGGAGGGAGATGACATTAAGACCCTGGGCAATGTCATTTACATGTCCCAGGTCCTGATTCAGTGTGCAGGAAGTGAGGTAATGTGCTGGAATTGTACACTATGGGGTGTTGGATCTTCCGGGAATGATGGAAGGTCACCAGTGATGGACGAAATACACCCAAGGAATACCAGGACGTAATATTGAACTAAGCTTTTTTTAATTCTAATCTCTAAATTGTTTTCCCGGAAATGTCTTAGGTAAAACTAAAATTAAAAACTGAGCGTAATTTTTATGAAATATGATTTATTTTGTAAATGCTTTAGTAGTTGTTGTTGTCAAGTGCCTTCAAATCGGTTTTGACTCATAGGAAACCCTGTATAGGTTTCCTGGAGCATCTGGTGGGTTTGAATCGCTAACCTTGCGATCCATTGATTATCTTTCAGCACCACACCAGGTCTCTAGACGGTCACATTATGTAATCTTGTAATACGAGATTGTAAAGGAATGTAAGTGATGACACCTTAAATGTATAGGGGTTCCTTTCTTATATGAATTATTATATGCCCTTTTTATCTTTGGCAAATATAAAAGAAGCTCAAGGTATATTAAAGAGACTTAGAGCTGATTGTAGAATTCTTGCTCTAATAAATCTTACCCAAGATCAGTGATGATCTACAGTCTTTATTGAATGAACCAGGCCATATAAAGTACTCTCCTAGTGCTTGGCATGTAGTAAACTCTTGATAATAATTGGTAGTATTCTTCTGAAATGTGCCTGTATTTTTTGGGACGTAATCTCCTATAAGATATACAATGTCTGATACCCACTTTAAGAAAGCCAATAAAATAATTGCATCTTAATAACATTTCCACAGAAATTAACTGAGTTCAGGAATAGAACTACAGTTGCCTTGATTTCTAGTAGAAATAGCCTCTTACTTAATTATAACCAAACTAGTAATCGCTAGAGAAATATGTGCTTCCATTTATTCAGTAACATCTCCAAGAAACTTAATCATGGAAAATCATATCATTTTGGTGAATGTTAAAACCTTATTTATGGAAGAGACATACTTCTAAAATGGTAGGTTAGTTTTAGCATTTAAGTGAAGTATTAATTTATTTCAGCGTTTTATGAATGGAAGGATAGTCCCAGTGTTCAGACTAGACTTCCAGAGCAGAGAACTTCTGTACCAGTGTCTGCCACAGAATAGGTCTTAGGGTACAGTCATTTAGTCAGCGACTCCGTATCAGAATTGTCAGTCCAGAGAATTGATGTTTCCAACTGTTTATATTATTATGCCTTTCCATTAACGTGTACTAATAGACATCACGAGAGCTCTGTAGGGTAAGCACTGGACTGCAAAACACAAGATCACCAGTTTGAGCCCAGCAGCTTCTTTGTGGGAGAAAGATGAGGCTTTCTGCTCCTGAAAAGATTTACAGCCATGTAAACCTTTACAGGGACGCTGTGAGTTGGAACCGATTCCATGGCACTTAAGAACAGCAACGATTGGTAATCTGTTTTCTTATATGGATTCAGTTAAAGTGAGAGATCAGACCAGAGCCTTTGCCATCCTGACACATGTGAAATTGATTAGTTTTCCTTTTTGGATACATGAGTCCCTCTTTTGCTCACTTTTGTTTCACCTTTTCAAAAAAGAATGAACATGATTCCACCATGCTAGTAGTCCATTTTCAAGCACAAAACACTTGGGACAAAGAAACTTACATTCACACTGAGTATTCCTTTCCATCTAAAATTCTTTAAAATGATGTCACCCTTCTACTGAGGTACTAAGATTGTCGTTTAGGTACCATAGAAATAGTAACCTTCTAACCTGTTGCATACAAGGTCGGCAGTTCAAACCCATGAGCCGCTCTTTTGGAGAAAGATGAAGCTTTCTGCTCCTTAAAGATTTATAGCCTCGGAAACCCTGTACAAGTTTGTTGTGAGTTTGAACCAACTTAGCAGCACTGAACAACTACTACATTGTTTTAAAAATAAACAAATCTTTCCAAGTTCTTTCTTAATCATATAGTTTGAAACTCTTATTTAAAATACTCCACAGAACAATTTCCCCAAAGTCTGTTATTTGTAATTCTAGATTTATAAAACACAATTGATAGGTTTTTTAAAAAAATGATTCAAGGTTGTTACAATCACAGCTGGTAAGATTATAATTAGTTAATAAGAATTTTTTATAACACAACTCTGGGCCTTTATTATATATATTCACAGAGTGTGTAGTGGGGGATTGTAAGTAGTTTACAACAGCTTAGGTTTTTTTCCCCCCAAAGTACTTTGCCCTAGGTCTTTTGTTCTGAGGAATATACTTGGAGAAAATGGTTTCTAATATGTTTCACTTGCAGTGTTTTTGTGAAGTGGTTTAAATGTCTGCATGGGAGAAAGAACTGTCTCAACACTTCTTTATCTGTTTCTCCTTTCAGACTTTTGCAAATTTTGTCTTTCAGTTGTAGTCTCCTTGGTTTTTATTGTGTAATTGAAACAAGAATGTCTTAATTTATGGGTAGTGCTTTTATGTACATTAGTAGATCTTTCATGTAAACTTGAAGGGATCAATGAAAACAGTGTTGAGTTGACATGCTATGGATTTTGAGGGAAGTGCCAGGAATTAATAGACCAAGGCTGATGTTAGCATTTGATTCTCCTTAGCTACAGCCATCCACTTGGTCCTTTCTCTTCCCTCACATTTTCTTCTTCCTCTCTCTCAACCATGAAAATAACATTTTGATTAACTAGACACAGTTAGCGGTAGAACTGAACTCTTTAACAAAATATTGTTTTAAAAGATGTTACAGAGGCAACTTGTGACTCTTTTATCTTTCACTAATTTATTTTTCTTTCCTACATTTTTATTTTGGAGAATTTTGTAGCTCTCTTCCCCCCTGTGTATTAAAGTGCAGTCTTAGTCATATGTTAACAGTTAATGTTGAATTTATTATGATTTTGTTTCTGTTTAATTTAGCGAATAAAATTTGATAGAGGGAAACCTGAACCTGAAATGCAGTGATTCACAGGGCAAGTTGTTATTCAGTACTGTTGATTAGGTTCCAACTGACAGTGACTTTATGTAGGGTTTCCAAGGAGCCACTGGTGGGTTTGAATCTCCGGCCGTGCAATTAGCAGTCCAGTGCTTATCTTACAGTACCACACCAGGACTCCTTCATAGGGCATAAGGTAAAGAACTTATGCTTTATCCTGTCTGTAAAGATATACATATGTGTTTTTTTAATTATTTGAATTTGCTTGTTTTTTACATCAGGAAAAGAATGAAAGGTACCTTCTTCTCTTCCCAAACATTTTGCTAATGTTATCTGCCAGCCCTAGGATGAGTGGTTTTATCTATCAGGTAAGACACATTTAAATGATACTTGATTGCTTATTATGAATAATACTTTGACAGAAGTCACAGACTTTGTTTACGTTGAGTTGTATTTCTTCAGAACCTGTTGTTTTGTATTGTCCTCAAGAAGAAGTACAAGTGAACGCTGAGTCAAATGTAGGCCTAGCTTGATTGTATCGCCACAAAACCGTTAGGCTTCTGCCCAAAGAGGAGTAGATAATAATTATGTAATCATTCCAAAAGAAACATATTTTAAATCTGCAATGCAAATATATATGGAGATATGCAGAAAAAGAATGGCTCTTAATTTCTAATGCTACTGTTATTGGGTGGAGGGTGTCTGTGGCTGCTTGCAGCTGCCTCGTTACTGTGATAAACCAAAATCCAGACCCTTTCCGTCAGCAGCTCTGGGCTTAGTATTTCATAGCCCCCAAAGTCTTTTCCCTTTCTTTCAGGCTGTAAGCCTACCAGAGGAGTCTCTGAATGGTTTGGCTGAAGTAGGGCCCTGCTCTCTAACCTAAGGGAGAAAGGTTGCAAGAGGTTACTTTCATCCCGCGCTACTTCTCGGGCTAGTGGACAGACATGCCATGCCACTGAGGATCCCATTCTATCATTAGGACCCTACTGTCCCATTCGCTTGGCACAGTTTTCTTCCAAGTTTCTCCTCTGTTAGTGCATTTGACTCTTGGTCTGTTGATCAATATTCATTACTACTCTATAATGTATTCTATAGAGCGCTTAAGATACACTAGGCTAAACACAGTTACACCGTTTCATTTTCTATAGGATTTCTCAAAGCTATTAATAATATATTTATATATACCTTTTGAAGGAGCTCTGGTAGCGTAGTGGTTACGAATCGGGCAGCGAACCTCAGGGTCAGCAGTTCGAAACTACCAGCTGTTCCGTGGGAGAAAGATGACGCATTCTGCTCCCGCCTCTGAAGCCCTGTACAGGGTCGCTATGAGTCAGAACCTACTCCACGGCATATAACAACAACAACAACAACAAATATACCTTTTGAAAGGCATGTAGTGTACAATGCATTTGACCACAGAAGCATCAAGTTAGAAGTGCCTCCCATGTCTCATGTTGTACCTAGGAGAGAATAGTTCAGTCTTCGCAATGCTGAAATTTAGGCTGGGCAGTAGGGCTGCCCTGGCCAATATGGAGCACTTCGCAGCATTTCCCACTTCCCACTTCCACCCACTAGATGTCAGGAGCAGAGCATCCCTACCAAGTTTTTGCCACATGTCTTCTGTTGGGAATTGTCTCCTGGACCTGCTGAAACCCACTGCTTTAAGAGGTGCTTATGGAGTTGGTTTCAGCTAATTGTTACATAGACAACTCAGCCCTAAAACCTACAGACATTTCCTAAAGACTGGGTTACTCACCATGGATCATAGCTTCGGGGAACTGCACTGCGTTATTTTTAATGTTGCTTTGTTAATGATCAGTTTGCCTCCTTTTTCTGGTATCTCCATTGACATTTTCTCTTCTGGGTATTAGTTACAGATGACTTATTTTTTCAAAGGGAACTTGGTTGCCCACCTGATTTTTTGTTTTTGTTTCTTTGCATTAGTGCAGCATTTAGTGTAACTATTTAAACTTTAAGATATGGCTATTATATACATTTCTGTTCTTAAACTAGTTTTCCACCCTTAATTTTGCCTTCAAACTTGGAACTTCCTCGGTATTTCTTTATGAAGCAAATCTTATAAAATAGCTGTTCTAGGCTCTAATTTGTTTTGTGTTTAAAATTGGATTGTGTAATATTTTTCCTCTGGTATTTATGCTTAGAGTAACTTACTGGATGAATTTCACTTATTTTGGATTGTTGGTTTTCTGTGTATCTTTTTGTTTATTATAGTTTCATGATTCTTTGAGGTAGAAATTTTTGTATTATACATTCGTCTGGTACAAAGAAAAGAGCTTCTTTGGGTTATAAACACACGTTCTCTCATTTCAAATATTTAATATTTATTTTAATGATGATATGTTCTTTACTATAAAAGCACTAATTGATTTTCTTTTGGGGGGGTCTTTTTTAGGGAAAGCTACCAACAACAGGAATGACAATCACAAAGCTTGAGGACAGTGAAAATCATAAAAATTCATTTGAAATATCAGGTGATAGGCACAAACTTTTGTGAATGCTACCTATTGATGAGCGCTAGATTGTCATTGTTGCCAGATTCTTGCTTAAATAATTCAGAGGGCTCATGTTTTTTTAAGCATTGTGTAATTATATTCTGGGTGTGTGTTTTTGCTTGCATGTGCTTGGTTGTTTTTTTTTTTACCAACTTTTCCATCTCAGCCTGTTTTGTACTGTTTCTCCTAGGGAGCATGATTGAGCGGATATTAGTGTCATGCAATAACCAGCAGGATTTACATGAATGGGTAGACCATCTCCAGAAGCAGACTAAAGTCACGACCATGGGAAACCCCACGATTAAGCCTCATTCTGTGCCATCTCATACTGTAAGGACACTCGCGACTCCCTCTAAGCTGCAAATAATACCAGCTTTTTGGTTGGGTGGGTTATCGAGAAATGATCATGTACTTTATGGCATAATTTCTAGATTAAATGCAAAATATTTGCTTCATATTTTTCTGTAAATAGTTGGTTCACATCCATCTAATAATTAATAGTTTCTCAGTGATTTTTATTGTGAAAAGTTAGAAAGCAAACTCCATCTCTTCTAAGAGTGGATCTCAAAGAATAACTTGGGTATGTTTTTGGCTAAACCACCAAAAGCCATGGATCCATAGACTGTTTTTCTGAGCATTGTACATTTATTTACTGTATTTCATAAATGATTACAATGATTTTTTTTTTTTGGAGGCTAGATTGTTGCTGAAGGCATGTAAATGTAATTTTGACTCCATTTTTTATTTTAAGGTTTTATCTTCACTTAGGAAAACTCAGTTGTGTTTTATGTATGTATATATACACACAAGCACACACACACACACATATAATATATATGAAACATTGCCAAATAGAGAAATACCAAATTATCAGTGTTTAAAACTTTTTACTAGTGTTTTATGCTTAAGATAATTTTTATTTTAACATTGATTTATTAACTAACATTTTAAAATGAGAAAAGCTTTTTAAAATAAAGCTCACAAAAGCATTTTCAGTTTGCAGCTTTTTCTCATCCCTGTGAGATTATTATGACCTTTATTAGGACATTTTCTGCCATGTGTGCTCGTTTTCCTGTTTATTGTCCTTCCGATGACAAGGTTTAGCTCAAGAAACGTCAGCCTAGAGTAATGATGAGATCAGCAGTTCCCATGTTACTCCGTATTTCAGCATTTCAGAGAGTAAAACTACTCAGTTGCTTTTGCCAACATTTCATTTCTAGTGACTGTGCCATGTGTAATTCTCTGTCCTTTTAAAAATGCTTAGCTTTCCTAGAACTGTGTTTAATTCAAGGATTGCTGTGTATATTTATAAGGAAAACGGAAATGTCTTTTTCATTGATAATCTCAAAAACAACCTGAAACTAACTATAAACTTGATCAAACTTTATATCAGGTAATGTTTACTGTGTACATGACCCATAGCATCCCTGCATTGCTTTTCATGTCACCTGGAGACAAGGAAGATGTCTCTTCAAGACCTACTTGTGACGTCCCCTCTGTGAAGCAGACATTCTTCCCCACACTAGGAGCTTTAGATATGTTCTGCTTTCTTCTTCGGGAGTTCCTCTGTAGGGGATTAGGTATTCTCCCTGTGATCTGACTCTATCCAGCTTGAATAACCTTGAATAACATTTCTAATTTTACAATAAAACATAGCCTTTTTTTTTTATTTTTATTTTTTTTACCTTTTTCAAGTCAGGTAAACTAGAATCAACCATCCCTTGCTATGACACTAATGCTGGAAGGACTGGTTTGCATCATTTTACTTTTCTATGAATTAATTATAAAACACCTTATCTTTATATGGCATATTGAGAGTGCTGTGACTCTGTAGGACAAGCACTGGATTGCGAACCACAAGGTTGGCAGTATTATACCCACCAAGCCACCCCACCAGAGAAAGACGAGACATTCTGCTCCCACAAAGATTTACAGCCTCAGAAACCCTGTACAGGGTCACTATGAGTCGGAACCGATTCCATGGCACTGAGCAGCAATAACAGCATACAGTGTAGTATGGGTCTCAGGCTCTCAGTCTCCACCCTTCCACCAAGGAGAGGAGCCTGTGGGTTTTGTAGATTTCATAGAAGGTTAGATGCTCATGGTTTTGAGTATCTTGGCATTGGCTTCCATTGCTGAGTATGTTTCGGATGCTGTTCAGCCTTTTTACAGGGATGAGTTTACTTTAGGTGGCCCATTCATGTCGCCATCCAATTCATTCTCCTATAAGTAGGCCTTGCTGTTGGTGACTAGTTTGAGATCATTGGCTAATTTTGAGTGTTACATACTTAACATTTTATCCTTTAACTGTCAGTGATGGCATATTTTTGGCGTTTCCATTGATGAACATTTATATAAATCCACTGATGAACATTTCTTCTCAGAAACAAGATTTTTGAATAACTTTATGATTAAATCTGTTTGTTTGTTTTTTAAAGAAAATGACTTGTTTTTTCCCACAAAGGCTGGCAGGGCTCCTTCCTGTATCACCAGTCAGTGAATAGTCTGGGACTTGAGAGAGGGACTGCTTTCCCCTCCCGCTGCTTATATGTTACATGCCCAAAATAAAGAATGTGTTTTCTTCTATATAATAGTGATTTTTATAACAGATGAGAGACCCTTTTTCAAACATTACTCCCATAGCAAATAAAGAGGTACCTTATAGAGTATTTGGGGTTTCAGGTCCTCAGTTCAGTGCGGGTCACTACTGATAGATGCCTGGTCTTAAGCCAAACCGTGCAAGGAACTCTGTTCTTAATCTACCCCAGGTATGTCAGAGCTGACTATGTTTGACCAAAGAAACTGATTAGTTAGAGTCAGCGATTCCAAAGAAATAGCAACATATTGAGCCTTTCACTGGGAATGTTTTTGTTTTATTTTTAAATTTTTTACTGTAAATGTATTAGAGTCTTATATTTTGTTTCTTCTCTTTTTCTCAATATCGGTGCACTTACCAGCTTCCTTCCCATCCAATCACACCATCCAGCAAACATTCAGACAGCAAGCCAGTGCCACTTACTCCTGCATACCACACCCTCCCACACCCTTCCCATCATGGGACTCCACACACCACCATTAACTGGGGACCTTTGGAGCCTCCCAAAACTCCCAAACCATGGAGCCTGAGCTGCCTGCGACCCGCACCTCCTCTACGGCCTTCAGCTGCTCTCTGTTACAAAGAGGTGAGGTCCTTTAAGCATTCTAGTAGCCACCTTAAAAAGTAGGATGTAACAAAAGTCAAGGTAATGTGATCTTAAGTTGATTAGTATTTTATATACACACACCCCTTTTTATTTTAACTTCAAGAAGTTTAGAAACATTGGCCATCCATATTTCTGTCAGTGACACAAAACATTCTGATTAGCTTCTTGAGCGCTATAAAGATGGACCTGCCTTCATTTATTTGCCGGTTGCAAGTGCTCATTCAGGGACCTGGGAAGCCCACAGTAGGTCTGTGAGGGAAGGGAGGTAGGGCGCGGAGTCCTTCCCGCACACCTGCACGAAGGATCCTTCATTATGGAGCAGAAGCCTGACATTCGTATGTCTGCAAGTGCTGCTTCTCCAGCTCGTCCTTAATTCCTGCAGACTCAAGGAGCAAGAAGTGAGAACATTTTTACCTGGCCTTCCTTTGCTTCAAATTATTTTGAACTTGCAGTTGATGACAGGGTTCACGTTGTTTCTCCATGTTGTCATGCTACCCTCTGAGCCTTCTGTAAGTTCAAGCTCATGTGTAGGAACTGCACATTTTATTACCGATGCTATTTGAGATGAAGAGAACACAGGGAAATAAAAAGGAAACATATTTAAGACCCCTCTCCTCTTTAATGTTCAAGAACTTATGGCACATTATCTTTGGTCCTTCTTCATTCTAATTCGTAAAAAAAAATTCATAAACAAGTATTAACAGTTTCATGCACTTTTACCTAAACCTGTATTGATGAGGAATTAAAAGAATTTTGAGAAATGTGTTCTGAGAAATACATAGCTTTGTCCTGAATGGATTGACTAGAAATTGCGAGTGTGTTGAAGCATTCATACCTGATACCAAGTCTTGATGCCCAGTTGAGGGCAAACGTGCAAAGGAAGCCAGAACAGCCGCTCCATACCTGCTTGCAGTCCTGAGCATTTAAAGACACGTGTCAAAGTGCTACACAAGAAATTAGCCACTTTTTCCATTTTATAAGTTTAATGAATTTTATTTTTTATGACACATCTCTTGCATACCCATGTTAAGCATTTCTTATGATGGGCAGGTACTTAAACAATGCTGGGTTTTCAGATTTTTGTTTTCATCATGTAGTTCAGTGTTTACAATACAAAGGAAAGTTGAGATAATGCAGGCAAGAATTTGCGGTGATTTAATTACCTGAACAGAATGTTGAAGTAAAACTGTTAAGTCTCATGCCAAGGAAATTCATTTAAAAACAAAGCAAAGCTATAAACACTGAAGAAATAGAGCGGTATTATAGTAAACATAAGTTTCAGTGTGTCTAAGTCTGCCTGTAACTGCTTTGCTGGACTTCCTGTTGGAGAAGCATTTCATATGCTGTAATTGTTGAATATTACCAAGTACTTCAAAACAGTGAGAAGTGTGGTGTGCCGTTGGTAAGATAAGCACTCAACCGAAAGATTGGTTTGAACGGCAAGATTGGTGGTTCAAACTCACCAGTAGTTCCTCGAAAACCCTGTACAGGGTCACTGTGAATTGGAACTGACTCAATGACACAACACCTTAACAATATAGCATGATAAAAGAAGATGCAAATTCATTTCAAGCTAGTCTGCAGCAAGCTTTCCCTGTGTGCAGGTAGTCAGATATGTAGGTGTTGACTTTGAGACCCTCAGCCAAGGAAGTGCGCCCTCTAATCAGGAGAAGGACATGGCTTTATTCATGTTGATGTCCTCATCAGGAATTTCTCTGTTACTCTTGAATTAGGGAAGCACGTTGGCTTTCAGCTTTTACATCCCTAGGACGCACATTCTATGTATTTCTTGAACTAATTTCTGCTGCATTTCTAGTAACTTTGCTTTTTTTTTTTAAAAGAAAATAAAAGTGTAAGGGATAACTTCAAAGGTTTGTTCACACTGTGCTGTGAACCTGGTTCGCCCTGTGACAAATCTCACCTTCTGAATCTCATCTTCTCATTTTAATATTAATGATTAGTTTATATAACATAAAGGATGCAAAAGTTAGCCGTTTCTTATAATGATATTTAATATATGCTTGAACATGGAAATTGCTCACACAAACCTGTAGGACTTTGTTTTGCTCATTTAATTTTTCGTTTTTCTGCACATGTTTTTAGAAGTTTTGTGTTACAAGGGCCAGGGCTATGAACCTTTGCTTTTGAAAGTGTAACTCGATTACTGTGAACGTGAGATACCGAGAGCAGCCAATATTAAACTGCCAAATGTTCTGCTCTCAAAGAGTTAACTGATCTTGTCTTCTCACTTGAGGCTTCATGTGTTTTCTAAAAGGACTCATTTTCCTACTTGTCTTTCCTTTAAAAATTACCTTAGTTTCCTCAGTTATTTCTAGTTCGATGTTCACATGGGTGTATTCTTCCAGACGTAGCCGCCCTCCTGGGAGTTTGTACGGTAGTTTGCCCATGTGTTACGGCATCTGTCAGTTTTCTCACAGCTTTGCTGTCTATTGTTAAGGTGCTAATGGGGTCCAGGTAGCCCAAGGAAACCTGGTTTTCTCAGTCAAGAGGAAATGTTAGTAAATGGCTAAAAGTGAAAATGGCTTAATAATTTTAATGTTCACCAGCTGGCCAAGAAAAATCACAATATGATGACAAAAGTAGGGAGTGGTTTGGTATTTCACACCTTAAGACTAACCCTTCACTGGTACAGAAATAGAAATGGTTGACTTTGCAGTATTTTTGCAATTTTTTTCTCCTTTCTGATTTTCCTAGGATCTTAGTAAGAGTCCGAAGACCATGAAAAAATTGCTCCCTAAGCGCAAACCTGAGCGGAAACCCTCTGATGAGGAGTTTGCTCTGAGGAAAAGTAAGTCCGCATGAATGAAAGATGTGGTTTCATTGTCACAAAGCATCTCACTGGACTGGGGAGATTACTGATCGTTTTTCAAAGACTTCAAACCAATGTCAAGAATATGAAACTTGCATGACTTTTAAAGGTAGTACCGTAGGAGATTTGGTAATTTCTGGAGCTTTGTGTTGGTGGGTAGTCTTTTTAATCTTTGTACTTACAAAGGAGATTTATAATTAAAGATGCAAAGAAATACCTAAATGTTAATAATGGAGTATGTGTATATATTTTCCTTTAATAACACAATCTTACAGGGTATGTATACTGATCACATGACATTTTAGGGACTGGAATGCACATACCAGCCTTGTATCACCCCCATTTCATCAGTGAATCTAAAATCTAAGCCAGGTATAGCTTAGACCTGGGGATCTTGCACCTGCTTGTCCTATCTGACTGCTTTTTGTCCATAAAAATTTTGTCTGCATTTTCTCAAATGCCCTAATTTCCTGAAACTCTCTCTAAATCGTTGACAGAATGTGATCTGTTGTTTTTAGTGCTTCAGGCTGTACCTACCCACGTTCTTCGGTGCTGCCCTTGTCTCTCATACTTCTTTGGATGCTGACATGCTAGTCAAAGGCAGAGGCAAAGTCCACTTCCGCTCCCCAGCGAGCATCTGCTGACACCGATGGCTTAGCTGCTCTCTCTTGAATGAGGAGTGAGTTTTAGAAGCAAGTGATTAGAAAGACTAATCCCTTTCCCCCCACACCACTGTTTCTTCCGAGTCTCTCTCCCATTGCCTACTGCTGATAGTCAGAAGGAATACCGTCACTGCCTGTAACCAGGGAGCACGGTGGCTCTGTAGGGTAAGCAGTGGATTACAAACCACAGCCTTCTGCTTCCAGAAAGCTGTACAGCATCGAAAGCCGTATATTGTTAACTATGAATTGGAACCGACTCAGCGGCGCTTGACAACAATAACCTGTAACTAGCGGATTGCTGTGGGACGGGTGACTAATGCAAACCTGTGAGAGAGAGAGGCGGTCAAGCCCAGTCGGGCAGTAGCCAGTCCCAGGAGTTGTGGGGTTGTTCTTGAAGCTCTCTGTCTCCCTGCCCTGCTATCCCTTTCTCAGCCTACCTTGTTGCTGTCACTCCACCCTGCTCAGCCCCTCTCGTCTACGCACCCAGGATACTAGCAGACCCAGTCAACTCACTGGGCCAAAGATGACGCAAGTGGGCATATACCCGCACGTAGAGAAGGGTTTGAAAGAGGATGGTTATATGTGGATATTCACCTTGGCTGCAGACACGCCTATGAATGTGGTGGGGCATACACAGGGGAAATGATGAAAATTTCTTAGATATTTTCAGACATCTTAAGGCAGTAAGTTGCTGGCCCTGGGGACTAAGGACCATCGTCTCAGGGGACACCGTGGTCAGTTGGCAAAGACAATGTTCTATGTCGTACTGTGGTGTACATAGCATCTGGGACCTTCAAAGCTCATAGCCTGCTGTCTAAGGTGCAGCTGTTGGTCTCTTCATGTATGGAAGAAAGAGTGATGAGAGTTGAAGATGCTTGGGATCAGTTGGTCCAGTGACCTGATGGAACATGTGAGCCTCTAACGAACTTGATGGTGTCAGGCTGCCCTCTACCAACTGCTCTGAGAAGGGACCACATTAGAAGATTTTGGACAGAGTGGGAGAAAATGTGAAACAAACTCAAAATTTAGAAAAGACGACCAAGCTAAGTGGTCAGAAAAAGACTGGAGGAACCCAAGACTGTCTGAAAAAGAACTCACGTTTGTGGCCCAATTTTCAGCCAGGCAATAGATTGGTATATGGGTGGGGACAACAGTAAAAACAGCAGTAGAAGATTGACCTTGGAATGGTCAGTCATTCAAATTCAGAAGGACAGTATTTACCTAAAGACAAAAAGGACCCACAGGGAGGAAGTGGGGTAACTGTTGTTGCATGGAATGATTTTAATCATTGAGGTGAAACAGGAGGTCTATGATCTATTGAATATAAAACTGATCATCTCTGTAAACCTTCAGTCAATTCACAAAAAGTTTAAGAAGAGAGACAACCAAGAAAACCTGATGAAAGGAAAATGCTGGGATATTTTTATAGGTCATTGTAACTGTTTGGAGATAGTGTTTCTCTGTTTCACTTTACCCACAGTGGGGACTCTTCAAGGATTTCAATTCCAAAAGAAGGCTCATGGGTGAGGTGTTTTAGTTAGAATTTCAGCATCACACTGAAGAGGGATGGAGTTTGGGGTGGTGATTTTTAAAACTGGTCTCCAGAGCCAGTCCAGCTCATACTTATATGACCTGGGCTAACTGACTTCTGTCTCAGCGCTGGTGTGGTCATTGTTAGTGTAGAGGGTGGTAATAAATTAGAAGAATTAAATCAAACGCTTGTCCTCTGAAACCACCCAGTAAGCATTTGTTATCACCCTGTCTAAGCTGCACACAGTAGATACTACAGCATAAATTGCTGTCCTGCCACATGTTTTTCCTCCATTATAAGTACTGACCACTGGAATGGTCAGTGCCACACTCATAGAACACTTAATGAAACGGTTGGTCAGCAAGTCATCCAACTGTAGTGAGAAGAGCTGGGTTTTAGAATCACACTGATTGGGACTGTCGGCCTGCTCTGCCGTTTCCTAGCTGTGCAGTTAGTCTGCTAGAAAAAGGGAAAAGAAAAACTTACAATTGTTTTGTGGAATTTACTGAGCATTTTCCATGTACAAGGCACACTACTGGACGCTCACTGGACAGATGTTTACTGAGTACTTTCTGTGTCAGATGCTAGTTATGTCAGGGGGTCTTCAAAATGGTCTTGGAAAAATGGAATTTTTTTTCTAACTTTGAGGCCTCCTCGTAAAATAAAAAACCACTATGTTCTTGGGGTTTAAATTTTGTAGAAAGGTTAATACAGAGGGAATAAAAAATTGAAAGATGAAATATTTTAGTCGTAATTGTGATTGTCACAACTGTAAAAGTAGAAGTTTTGTAACAAAAACGGGGGAGTAGTTAATCTTACAGTCCAGAAACAGAGGACCCTAGGACCATCAAGGGAGAAGAACACAAGCAGAATGTGGGACCTTATCCAGAGAAACAGCGACACCAGAGATGGAGGCAGAGATGGGGACATGGAGATAGGGAGCAGCTGAGGACTCTAGATTCATGGAAAGAGAGGGACTGGGTGTTGGTGGCCGGCAGGCAGGCTTGCAGAATGTGCCCATTGGTTTTTATGTATACTCCCCTGCCAAAAAAACCCCCAAAAAAAAACGAAAAATGAGGGAATGGAAGCAAATATTGTTGAACGTTGAAGCACGGAGGAGATTGTAATCATTGCAATGAAATGATGATGTAAAGCCGATGTTTTCCCATGTAAACTATCACTCAATTCACAGTAAAAACTTAAAAAATAAAACAAGTATATTAGTCGTTAAGTGTTACAGAGGAAAATAAATTGGGCAGGGGGAGTAGGGACCATTTAAAATAGGATGGTCAGGGAAGGCATCACTGAAAGGGTGTCATTTGAATGCAGACTTTAAGGAGTTGAAGAGTCAGGAGAAGAACATTCTAGACAGTGATTTCAGGCAGGAATCTGCACGATGTGTTCAGGGACCAGCCAATGACATCTGTGGCTGCAATAGAGGGAGTGAGGAAGAGAGTAATAAAAAATGAATTTCAAAAGGGGGGAATGGGCAGTCAGTACAATTCTGAGCAAAGCACCTGATAAGGCTTGCATTTCAATGCAATCAGTACGACTGCTGTGTTGAGACTAGAGGCCAAGTGAAAATAGGGAGGCCAGCTGGGTCACTGTAGTGCTTCAGGTGGGGTAAGAAACAATGGTGCCTGCACAGTGGCGATAACAGTATGGGTGGGACAACTGTGGACAGGTTTCAGATGGTCTCTGAAGATCAGAGCCTCCAGCAGGGATTCTCAACGGAGTACGCTTTTGTCCCCCAGGGGACATTCAGCAATATGTTGTGGAGTGTCATTGAGTCAGTCCTGACTCAGCGATCCTGTGTAGGGTTTCCCAGGAGTGGCTGGTGGGTTTGAATCTCTGACCTTGGATTAGAAGTCCTGTGCTTATCCTACAGAGCCACACCAGGACTCCTAGCAATATGTGTGAATGTTTTTATTGTCACCTTTGGGTGAGTGCTGGTGGGTTGAGGGCTCAGAGTGCAGGCCAGGGATGCTGTTAAATCCTACAGTGAACAGGATGCTGTACTTGTTACTAAGTGCTGTGGGGTCAGTTCCAACTTAGCAACCCTACAGAGGGATTCTGAGAAACGGCTGGTGGGTTTGAACTGCTAGCCTTGCTGTTAGTAGTCCAGTGCTTGTCCTACAGCACCACACCAAAATGTGCGTGAGCAGGATAGCCACCCCACCCCCAGATAAACAATTACCCAACTTGAAACATCAAACCTACCTGACGTGCTTATTGGATAGAATGCTGGGTGTGAGCGAAAGATGGGCCCAAGGCTTTGGCTGTGTGACTAAATGATGAGTTACGTGTCCTGAGCTGTGGAAGCCGGGAGGACTAACTTTAGGTGGACACAGCAGAAGCCGGGTGTGGGGAAGGAGATTGGGTGCCTTTTATACACCCAGGAGGAAACGTCAAGCAAACCAATTAGATTATTCTGAAGCCTTTGGTAGAGGTCTGGACTATTAGTAAACATTTCAGAGTTGTTATTGTTTAGATGGTGGTTCAAGCTATGAGACTGCAATGAAAGGAATGAATGTAGATAAAGGAGAAAAGATCTGATTTCTAAGGCACTTCAGTGTTAAAGAAGTTGGGAAGATACAGAACTTGACTTGCAAAGGCCACTTTGAAGGAAGGACCAGTGAGATAGAAAGTAGTTGTGGATTAAAAGACATTTTATAGACATGACATAGTCTCTATGGAAACAAAACCTTGTGTATAGTAAGTTCCAGTAAACGTTACTGCTTTAAAGTCATATTGCAGTTGGTTAATTTATTTGATCTTTTTATATTCAGGATCCTGGAAATGTTCTAGTTCTTGGAACAGTCTGTGCCACAGAAAAGGTGCTGCTGTCCTGTTAGTTTACTTTCTTCTAGCTTGGTTCAAGCCGGATTCAGAAGAGGCCGTGGAATGAGGGATATCATTGCT